CGCACACACACACAAACACACGAGTCTCCCTTGATTTGATTCGGCTTCACAGGGTTTTCAATGGTGGTCATCTTCAAAATTTGACTTTCTCTTGAGGCAACTCTGGCTTGATTTGAACCTCCAACCTTTTAATTAGCAGTTGAGCATTTAACCTTTTGTACCAACCAGGAAACTCTTCCTGAAGTTTAGGGTCCAAGATTTAGAAATAGGCAAGGATCCAGTGGCAGATTTCTTCCATGATGGGATGGCGCGGGATCGTCTTGCAAAGAGAGGTGACGGTGGACTGCGGGCAGATTCTGGTCTCCCTGGAGTACGTCATGTCCACTGAGCTGAGGCCACAGCTGGAGCAAAGGGATCTAAGTCCCAAGAGTTCCACCTGCCCAACGAGCCGTTTGCCAGAACTGACCACAGGCCTCTGTGAAAAGGACTGACGGGGCCAGCAGGCCCCCTGACGTGGGTAAAGCAACGGTGCATGAAAGAGGCAGGGACGTCAAGAGACCAGCAGTGCCGTCCCCCAGAGAAGGGCCCCCGGGCAGAGATGCTGCTGTGCAGGCAGTGATACTGCCAGGACACGGTGCCAGAGCTCAGCTGCCAGGGAGTGTGACGAGGCCCAGCCGGCAGCGAGGGCAGAAAGAGTGGTCAGCATCCTTCAGGTCTGTGCACGGAGAAGACGGGAACAAAAGAACGCATGCAGGGAAGTCAAGTGCTCAGAATTAAACGTACTGACACATGCTTTCAGCACAGTAACCGGGAGTGCCCTTTGAGCGGTTTCCCCGTGTTTCAGTATTGGCTGTTCAGACTGGAGCAGAAACGGACAAGAAAACGAATATGGGAAAACCCTCCGAAGGAATCCTCTTTCCTCTCTGAACAATCCAGGATTTATTTGGAAGGGGTGAAATCCACGTGTGTTAAAGCCCCCAGTTATCCACAAGCTTTGCCTGAGTCTAAATGAGCTCGCACTTGAGAATAACTCTGAAAAAGGACAAAAAGGAAAAGTCTCTCAGCTCTACCATCCGTCAGAGGTGAGACATCATGTCTCCGTGGAAGGGGCCTGAGGAATATGCTGTCCTGCTTTCCTGAGGAACGCAGCCACAGCTGTGTGGGGCTCCTGGAGCTCAGTGAGGGGGGACTCACATGTCCCCCCGGAGCAGGTGCTCGTGGATTTTCTTCTAGTAAGTTACAAAGTAGGGACTACAAAACTGAAAGTCAAAACCACCTGAGCTTCTCCTCACCTAAAACGTAAACTATATTTCATTTCATCAAGAGCTTCTGCAAAGAGCATTCCATGGCGCTACGTACCATCATTCACACAGCTGCAGAATGCACACTGATAGCGTCTTCCCCCTTCAATGAACTGCATAAACGGGCACATGTAGGCTTTGCACCTGTTGCATCTGACTGGCCCGGTCTCGCCATGGTTGACCAGGTAGAGAGGAGTCTGTAAGAAGCAAGTAAAATCACGTCATGGGGATTGCAGAAATCTGATGTAGGAACTCTGGAAAATTCTCTAATGGCATTCTTTATGGAACTCAACGCTCTCCTGAAAGGTCAGGACGCCACCCTGGGTGTGATGTGAATGCAAGCAACGAGACAAACAAATGTACATTTGAACATAAATCTTACTTATAAGCATGTGTTTATCCATACGTGTGTGTATCTGTATGTGAAGTGGGGAGGGAGAGAGGAGGGAATAGAAGAATGAGAGATATGATGCAAATAATATTTGTTAAAATGCCCTGGATGCCTTTACCACGTATTTTGGTACATTTGTTGATAGACTATGAGCAAAGAGGTAATTGGGTCTGATTTTCTAAGTTTGAGGCGATTTATCCTGAGAGGACTTCCAGTCCCAGAAACCCACAGGAGCCCCTCTGCCTGGTCCTGTAGGGTCGCTATGAGCGAGAACAGGCTTGATGGCAGGGAATTTGTTGAGACTTTGCGTTCCAGTGTGCAACCTGGAGAGTTTCATGTATGTCTTCAAACAGTGTGCCACCTCTCTGATTGAAGAAGTAGGCGACAGCTCTCACTTATTTAGGCCAGAGGCTTTTTCTGTTACTCTCCATCAGCTGACAAAAAAAGCTACACACAGTGATCTCAACTCTGCCAGAAGTGACAAAATAATAGAGATTTCAGTTGCTTCTTCCTCATAAACATACCCACACACCATTACACATCTCCTACAGCTTGAAAGTGAAACTGCTTCGGCATTTGAGGGCCTGGCTTCTTTGAACTCTTCCAGCTTTCAGACTAAAACCACAAGGGCTCTTCCTCGTTTTATAAATCTCCTTAAAGAAAACATTTCTGGAAAAGCACGAGAATTACAGGATTCAGCAGCTTAACCAACTTTCTTTTTTAAGGAAAAGATGTAAAGCAAACAGACCGCCTCGCTGCTTATTCCCCTGGGTTTGCACGGCGGGCTGGAGGTGGGCTCACAGGCGACTTTCTGCTGGAGCCCACTTTTGCTCCCTGCCCAGATCACGCGGGTGAAGACTGACCCCCTGCTGAGATGTCAGACATGGCCTGTGAGGCCCCAGACCAGGAAACGAAAGAAAATGAAATAAAAACGACAACAAAACTTTAAGCACAGTAGGCAAGGGAGTCCAGTGAAGGATTTTAAAAATCCAAAAACAAGTACTTGGAATCATTCCCTATTGCCTCTGCACTGCCCCCACCCCCTGCCCAAGGAAACCAGAGAATGGACATAAGGTTTGTGGTTGTTTATTGCCTCTTCTGACCCAGCGTATGGATAGTTCTAATGCTTTGCTGGTAGGGCTGTGACAGAGATTAAATGAGTAAAACATATGCAATGGAGAGGGCTGTGCTTGGCACGAGATGGTTGGCTATTGAGGAAGCAGCGGGAAGGACGGGGAAGGGGCTGAAAAGGAACCACGTGATGGAGGGTTTAACACGATATCGCCGTTGGTTTCATTTCTTGAGATGCGCTGTGTAAAATATATATAGTATGTTTCTTTAACAAAAACCAAAAACCCCAAAGAAAGAAATCCCTCCAGATTTCTCATTCCTCAAACTTAAAAGAGTGGCTTTTTTAAAAAGAAAGAGGAGGAAAAGTAAAATTGAAATGGACATGGAGTCCATTTGTTGGACAAAAGGTCATCGGATTTCAGTAGCCAGGTGAGACTCTGGACACTTACAGCCTGAGAAACCCACCGGGGCATCTATTCTGTCCTGGAGTGGGCTGAGAGCCAGACTCCATCCCCCGGGGTTTCGCTATCTAACCACCTCTCCTCTCTCAAAACGCCTCAGCGCAGAAAGCATGTCTTTCATTGGAGAATGACAGCGGCATGTGACTGAAAGGAGTTCCTCAAGGCATCTGCTTTTCTAAATATTTAAATGAGCCAGCTTGTTTTATCAACATGACTTAGAAGGCATGATCTTTCAGATTTGAATGTAATCTAGGATAAAAAGTTGAGATGCAGATTTAACAAGGTTTTAAAAATCAACTCTAGCACAGAGGGGTCACAAAGAAGGGATGAGTTAACCAGGGTGCAGTATAGCACTGATGAAACACACAATATGCCTTTGGCTCCTTGAGGCTTCCTCACCCCCACAATCATGACCGAGTGCTGCCTTCCACTGCAGGCATGGCCAGAGCATGTGCACAGGTACCAATAAGAGCTCACGACACAAGCAATCCCAGTCAGATAAAGCCCTCAGGAACAGAAACGGAAGGATTGATATCAGGAGGGTAGGGGGAGTGGGGGGGGGGGTAAGTGAGAGGAAGGGGTAAGAAACCGCAGGGGAAGGGAGACAGTGGTTGGTGAAGATATGAAATTAATAAAAATTTATCAAGGGGTCACAAGCATGAGAGGCAGGCAAGGAGGGGGAAAAAGAGGAGCTGACACTAAGGGCTCAAATAGAATGTAAATGTTTAGAAAATAATGATGGCAACATATGTACAAATATGCTTGATACAATTGATGGATGGACTGTTATAAGAGCTGTCAGAGCCCCCAATAAAATGATCTGAAAAACATAAAAATCAACTCTAAGAACTGATTTAAATGTGTGTACCACTCCCACCAAATACACACACACACACAACCAAAAAACAAACTCACTGCCAGCGAGTCAACGCTGACTCATAGTGCCCCCCACCCCTGCCCCTTACACACCTTGGGTTTCCAAGACTGTAACTGTTTATAGGAGTAGAAAGCCCAGTCTTTCTCCCAAGGAGCTGCTGGTGGTTTTGTACTGCAGCCCAACGAGTAACCAACCACTACAGCACCAAGGCTCCTTCCTTAAATGTATATACATGTCTATACAGTACAGGCATTAAAAGATACATTACTCTCTTTTGAATACAAGCAGACAGGGACAGATGGGTGTGCTCTCTGGCTGGCCAAACAGGGGAAACCTGAAGAGGGAAAACAGTCAAGAGACATGGGCACAACCACGTGATGCTGAGAAGGGCAAAGGGCGGCCGGGAGAGTGAGCAGTAAGTGAACCACAGCAAAGACCCAGTTTTCGCAGCGCCCTCAAAAATAGCAATCCTCCTGCAGTTACTGTTCTGTTCTAGAGCTCCCGCCTGGAGGCTCTGAACGGGTCTCAGGTTGAGGGGGGAATCTTCCGTCTGCACCCCCTCCAGCCAGCCTGTGCTGCTCCTTTCCTTTAATCATCTTCTATTTTCAAAGAGCGCACAGGCTACCATCAATTCCCCGGGAGATTTCAGAGATGAAATACGGTGCAATTATTGCTAGACAAATCAGAGGGAATCGACCTTATTTCTGCTGATAGAATTTGCTCAGAGGCAGGCCTCCTGCTCTGAAATGACTGTGAAATTGTTCAGCAACAAAGACCTCAGCATGCCAGTCCTGGCAGATTCAAACTTGCAGCACCGAACATGAGCGGGCGTCAAGCAATGCCTGTATGTGGGCTCTTCAATAGGCTTACTTTTTTCTTTCTTTCCTTCCTCCCCGACTTTCAGATGATGGATAGGCAAGATCTTCAGACAACTGTGGTGACAGTCAGGAATGTTAAAAGCTTTTTAACGGTTTACATTTGATTTTCAGGCAACAGGAGTGGGTTTCTGGTTCGTGGGGCCTGGTTTCATCTCCCTCAGGCCATGCTGAAAACCCTGAGAGATGTGCCTTTGCTTTCTCCAGAGTCGGCTTATCTGCTGTACAGTAGTCTGCATGAGCTCATAAATAGCTGATCTCACTTCTCTTCTGAGTTCAGAGCTAGGGTAGATAGCTTCCTTATACATGTACATGCCTTTCCAAAAAAATAAATTTTTTTCCCATCTAAACTATTTTTAGGATTTCTAATTTTGCTCATAAAAGTTCTTGGACCCTTTGGCCTCTACTAGGCCCCCGTCCTGTTACGTCCCTGTTCTCGGACTAGGAAAAAAGAAAGGACAGAGAAGTTGGTTTTAAAAACCTCATCTGAGTAGTTTTTGTTCTGACCCTGGGCGGCATGAGCTGGGTGACATCATTTGAAAGTGATGGGTCGCTTTGAAAGTTGAGGAGAGACAAAGTTAGCGAATGGTGTTTGAGTCTTTCCTAGAGCCATGCCAAATTCAGTATGGGCACTGATTGTATTTACCTGTCTATTTAATATTGGTTCCCGTTTTAACCAGAATACTTCAATCAAATCTCACTTTTTCATGCTGTGTCATATCCTGGGGGGTTCTGGGCCACAAGTCAGAGTGCAATTGTTAGGTTCAGTGCTAAAATGTCAGTAATTGAAAAATAAAACAAAAACTTTTAGTTGCTTTTTTTTTCCCATGGAAAAGAAGTAGACAACAAGATTCATCAATAAAAACAACCTCGTTACCCTGGTTAAGAAAATGTCAGGTCTTATTTTAAAATGTTAGCCATGTTCCAAACACACCTGCTACTATCTCAGGTATCTGACATTTTTATAGTTGGTGCTGGATCTATTGTGTATCTCTGTGAGTCTTCCTGGTGGCGCAGTGGACTGTAAGTTGGGCTGCTACCCAGAAGGTCAGCTGTTCGAACTCCAGAGGAGAAAGATGAAGGTTTCTGCTCCCGTACAGAGTTAATCCCTGAACACAGTTGGCAGCGGCTTCGCTGTGAGCTGGAGTCAACTCGAAGGCACTGTTTTTCTTTTGTTTTGTTTCCCTGAGAAGCCTACAGGCTAGTGGCATAGAACGCCATTAAACAAACAAGCCTATAAATACACATAATTAAAAAAACATGGTATGAGTAGAAAGAATGTTGGGAGATAATGTTTCAAGAACATTATTAATGAAAGCGCTTTTTTAGCCTAAAAAGGTAATGTCAAACTATTCACAG